TCGAAAAAAATATATTTATGCATCACATATGCCTGCGCAATGACATTTCTTGGACAACGTTTTTCAAATGCCATAAGTTTATATAATGTTACGAATTTTGCCTTTAGATAGGTATTTAAGTATTATTATAAGTAAAATTGTTGTATTTTTCTGTGTAATGTAGCGTGAGACAATTTTAAGAGAAAGGTATGCCGGAAAAGTAATAATACAGGGGCAAGTGTATTTAACATTGAGTAAATATGTATCTCGCTAATTCGGCGAGAAATCGACAAGCTGACAATTTTTGGCGACTTATTTTATCATTATAATCGGAGAAAAATCACCAAAAGTTGCCAAATTTGGCGACATTTTGGTCCGGTTTCTGTATTACTGTAATATGTATCGAAAGTGAATGAATGTAATTGACCGCTATGTTAGCAATAACCGCAAGCCCCTCCTCTTATTGTTTTTCAGTAATCTCGAGAAGCGGAAAGTACTAGAAATATCTCGCGGCCAATTGAAAACTATTTAAGGCCGAAGAGAGAGCATCTGCTGTCAGTTGTTTAGTTAGCTGCTGTTGTTAATGTTGCGAGACCGGATCAGCTTTCTCTTTAGATGTACTTTGCATTGCGTTGTGTTTAACGTTCTTAATAGTTTGAAGTGTAAATACTGATTATACTATGTGATACTGTGAACATTCTAGAGACATTAGTTTAATTGCAAAGCAAGGAAAGATGAAAAATGAGCAAACGCCTTCGCCGGGAATCGAAGCACGGACCCCTGGCCCAGTGTGCAGACCACCACACCACGAAGGCACGCTTAGAAGTTGGGAGAAATACCTCATATACTTCCCCTTTTAATGGGCGACTGGGATTTTCAGGGACCCTATCGCCAAATCCTGGGTGGGGAGAAATCATCATCCACCACCCTTTTAGTTTGGGCACCACTGTAGAGATATTAGGTTTGTAGAGTCATTAGGTTAATTGGAAGGGAAAAAGATGAAAAATATGCAACCGCCTTCGCCGGGAATCGAACCACGGACCTCTGGAATACGGGCCCGGTGTGCTACCGTTACACCACGAAGGCACGCTAGGGAAGTGGGAGAAATATCTTATAGGTTAATTGGAAAGCAAGGACAGATGAAAAATGAGCAAACGCTTTCGCCGGGAATTGAACCACTCACCTCTGGAATTCCGGCCCAGTGTGCTACCGTTACACCACGAAGGCACGCTAGGGAAGTGGAAGAAATACCTTATAGGTTAATTGGAAAGCAAGGACAGATGAAAAATGAGCAAACGCCTTCGCCGGGAATCGAACCACGGACCTCTGGAATACCGGCCCAGTGTTCAGACCACCATACCCCGAAGGCACGCTAAGAAGGTGGGAGAAATACCTTATAACATATTGTACGAAAGTTTCTGTGGAAAATTACAGAGTTCTAAAATATTTCTTTTGATAAAAATAAATGTTTTAGCCTAGTATCGGCCTTGTGCATTAAATCTGTTAATAATCCGTGAAGCAACAATATATATTTTCTCACTTGAAAAGTTGAGTTTATTAATTTAATTATTTTGTGTCACATTTTATGGTTTTAAGAGTGAAATATTAAGTCAATGTCCTTTAGATCTTACTGGATTGACAAGGCGAGTAATGGCTCCAGTCTGAATTAAGAAGATAAAAATAACATTTTTGTTAACTTTTTAAATTTAACAGAACTGCTTACGAAATTTGTGCTTACGAAAACACTTGTGCTTACGAGGGAAAAAAAAAAAAAAAAAGAATCCGCCACTTGAGGGTATTTAGAAATACACGAGGGGAAATTCCTCTTCAAGTAATATAGTCGAAGACTATATAAAATGGTCTACCTGTGCTGACTCAAATATTTTAAAGGCGCATTTTAACGTCGGCTATCGAAAATGGCTAAAGCCAGAGAATAATCTCTCAGAGCTGGCGATAGGATGTCAACTGAAGCTAAGGCTGCTGAAAAATCTAAACATTAAACATTCAAAACCCTCGACATAAGTACTCAAATAACTAATTTATATTCTGATGAGAACTACGGATAGAAAAAGTTATGTATAATAAAATAGTTTAAATCATAATAACTGCTTAATTAACGTAAAATTCATTATAGCATTACATATGTACATTTTGAGAGTGCTTTTTTCATTACACTTATATTGTTCTTGTTGTAGTTTTTTACTTCCGATTAAGTCGATATATCGATAGAATTTTAAAAATAGAACAATTTAAATTTGCATAATTAGTACTAGTTTTTCCCCCCTTCATAACCTGCGAATTTTTTTTATTACTTTCTGGAAATGGTTTCTTTTTTTTCTTCCGTGTGAAAAATGAGCATGTTGTTGGTTAAATACAACAAATTTTAAATTCCACTAAGGTTTCAACTTTAATTATTCTTTAGAATGCACCACTTAAACTTGTTACAACCACGGGTGATGCATTCTTTAATGACGCATCATTTATATCTTTAGTGAGGCTATGAAGTCTCATCTTGTTCGGTAGCATTAAATGTGCGAAGCTTCTAAGATCTTACGTGATTTATCACCATGTTTTGCAAAGTATTATAGAGACTGAGAAAGGGTGTAAAGAATACTTTTATTTAGCTCAGATAAAAGTTAAAAGAATAGCCAACTTATAGAATACACTTAAATCAAATTTATAATCATTAATCATTTATAATTTATAATTATAAATAAATCATTTCTGACTTAAGTCAAAGGTAATGAATTTGGCTAAACTAGGTATAAATAAGTTACCCAACGGCTACACAGATAGAGAAATGCACAAGTTGGCTGTTGAAATGCGCAAGTCAGGGTGACAATCCTAATGGCGAAAATAACGCAGGGCTGCAGTATAATACTCTCCAGAAATTCCAATTAGCAACACAGCTTTCAGCAGCCTGAACACGCTTTAATTTTACCATCTAAAACCTTTCTTCAAAGACCATCTCCTTTCTACCTCATTTTAATACACATGAGCTAGAAATTTACATTCTGGCAGGAAAATGGGAAACGAGAAGAACAACATAAAATAACTGATAAGTGAAACTCTGAATCCTGATATTGCATTCTTTAGTGATGCAATCTTTAGTGATAAATTTTTAGTAATGCATTCTTTAGTGATACATTCTTTACTGATGCACGGAAGGATGCAATCTTTAGTGATACATTCCTTAGTGATGCATTCTTTAGTGATGCATTCTTTAGTGATACATTCTTTAGTGATACATTCTTTAGTGATGCATTCTTTAGTGATACATTCTTTAGTGATGCATTCTTTAGTGATACATTCTTTAGTGATACATTCTTTACTGATGCAATCTTTAGTGATACATTTTTTAGAGATACATTTTTTCTTCTTTAGTGATGCAATCTTTAGTGATACATTTTTTAGAGATGCATTCTTTAGTGATGCATTCTTTAGTGATGCATTCTTTAGTGATACATTCTTTACTGATGCACGGAAGGATGCAATCTTTAGTGATACATTCCTTAGTGATGCATTCTTTAGTGATGCATTCTTTAGTGATACATTCTTTAGTGATACATTCTTTAGTGATGCATTCTTTAGTGATACATTCTTTAGTGATGCATTCTGTAGTGATACATTCTTTAGTGATACATTCTTTACTGATTCACGGAAGGATGCAATCTTTAGTGATACATTCTTTAGTGATGCATTTAGTGATGCATTCTTTAGTGATACATTCTTTACTGATGCACGGAAGGATGCAATCTTTAGTGATACATTCTTTACTTATATACGGAAGGATGCATTCTTTTAATGATGCATGCAAGTGATGCATTCTAAAGAATGCTTAACGGGGGGAACTTTAAAAGGATATGCGATATGCGACGGAGGGCGTGGGCACCATGCCTCTACCATTGAGGTTAATTGGTATAGCGCCACGTCCACCTATATCTAGAGATACATTTTGTAATTCATATTACAACTGCATTGACATTATTTGCTTAATGTATTACTACACTTGACGATACATGCTTAACGTTTAAAACACTATTACGTTTAGAACACTGTTACTGCAATACACACATACATTTTACAACTGCTTATATACATTATGTTACACATTACAACTTGTTTAAAAGCACTATCATTAATTTCTAATGCGCTGTTGCTTTTACATCTACTCGTTTGCTTTACATTTATAACACTTTCACGTTTAGAATTCTATTATTGCAATACACATTTACTTTTACGTCTGCTATCTGCTTATGTACATTATGTTTAATTCACTGCTTCTTTTAATCACTACATTAATTATTACATTTCAGTCTAATTGCTTGAGTACACACTTACATTTACTACTGCATACATACATTACATTACACAAGACAACTTAAAAAAAAAAATCATTCATTTTTAGAAACACTCTTGCTTTTACATCTACTTGTTTGTTTTACAGTTGGAAAACTTTTACGTTTAAGACACTATTATTGCAATACACGCTTATATTTACGTCTGATTATGTACATTACGTCTAATACACTGCTTCCGATAATCACTACATTAATTATTGCGTTTCAATCTATTTGCATAATTACACACATTTCCAGCTGCTTATATACATTACATTACACATTAAAATATTTAAAAACACTATCCTTAATTAAAAAAAAAAAAAGACGCACTTGCTTTACATTTATGACATTTTTACGTTTAGAACACTATTATTGCAATATACACTTACAATTACATCTGCTTATGTACATTACGTCTAATACACTGCTTCAGGTAATCACTGATCATTGCGTGTCAATCTGTTTGCATATGTACACACTGACATTTACAACTGCTTATATACATGAACTTTAAGAGGAATGATATTATGATTTGTGGTGAGAAGAAGGATGGTCTAAGGTTCAGAATGACTGCCATAAATTAGTGCAAAAGATAATGCATCGGCGGATAAGAAATTAAGCAATTCTTTCTTTCCCAATATGCGCGATATCTGTGAGTCGTGAGTTTGTAATGCGAGCTGTGTTGTTTGCGCACACTTGAGTAACTGGAATGCGATCTCAGCTCTTTGATGACCATCAAGAGTTTAATAAGTACATGCACGATGTCTCCTTCTGTAATATTTGCTTATAAAACTTCTAATTTTATAAAAGGAACTTTATTTAATTTCAGAATATGTGAAGTATTTGTAGATTTAAGGAAGTTTGTTCAGGAAAGAGGTTTGGTTAGGAAACGAGATGCTTAATATATGTTAAATTTTACGCGAATGCATAGTTTTTGTGTAATAAATCCATGAAGAATCAATGATTTACTCTCGAGAAATAATCATTAGCGACAGCCCATTTTCTCCGCCTTAGTTAAATGATTTCCTTGAACGATTCAGGAAAAACCATAAATGACAGAGGAAGACACATGTACTTCAAATTATCCCTGTAAAAAGTTGTCAGAAAATAAGATCAATCTTTCTTTGCAGAAATACGAGTCTTTCAGCAGGAGGAATTTCATAAAGGTAAAGTAATTTCAATTATTAAGATTATTTTATATTATTATTATTTTGGTAAACATGAAAATAATCGATTTCTCAATATTTAAAATTTCTTAGAGACTATTTTACTTTTCGAAATTTCTTATTGCTAAAAATATTTTTTTAGTTAGGGAATATTTTTTCTTCTCTGCAATTTCATGTTGTTAAAAATTTATGTTTACGAAATTATTCTTTTAATTAGATGCAAAACAAATAGCAGATGTGCGCAAATAAAAATGTATACAGCAAATAGAAATGTAAGCAGATACAAATAAGCAAATAAAAATGCGGTTAAGCAAATAAAAATGTATACAATTACTTGAATTAATTCCTTAAATTTCTGATGAAATAAAATGCGCATATATTTATAAACTTTTTAAGTTACATTGTTTAACCAGATGCACTGTAATGTAAAAATGATAGCAAATGCTTTTGACTATTATACTATTCTTCAACATTTGCAATAAAAATAAAGTCGTCAGGCTACTAACTATATGAATTTTAAAACCAGATTTCCCAAACAGAAATTTAAAGGAACTAAATATAACCGTTTTTTATATGGTTTTCTAAGTTATTATTTCCATTGTTTTTTGAAATTCTGTCTTCGTCGAGTTCGTGTCTCGGAGCACGAAATTGATGAGAAACTTTAATGATAAGAACTTTTAATTAACGATGACAGAATTTTGTATCAATGTACAGATGTGTTAATAAAATATTCGTTGTATATTTTTAACCCTTAAAAAGATAACAACTATTGAAATTTTGCATAAAAATTAGCTTTCTCTTATCAGGATTTTTTAATCGATTCCTTGTTTCTTCTATAAACGAAAGCATGTCGATTGAAAAATTAATAACTTAGGCAATAAATTAATAAAATATCTAAAATGTTTCAGATTTTAACGTTTACCCAGAGGGGCTTGTTAAGGTTTTTTTACGTTCTCGCTAAGTTCGCAGTCTACCAACCAGCCCGCTGCTACACTCATTTTTTACTAATAGATATTTTGCAGCATAGCAGTATGCGTTTAGAATTTCCGATGCGGTGTTTAGTGTTAGCATAAAAATCACTTTTCTGCTTTTTTTTTTTTTTTTTTTTTTTTTTTTTTTTTTTTGTCTTTTCTCAGTTTTTATTATTAAAGTTTGTGTTTATTTTGTTTTTAAATATCACATTCTTGTAGCTTACGCAATATAAAATTCAATTCAAGAGAAAAAATGACAAAATATTTAAATCAGCATATCTTTAGAATTTCCGATGGAGTCTCGCGCTCTGGAAATAAAAATACTTTTTTTCCCAGTTCAGTGTTGCCACTGCTCGCTTTGAAATCGTTAAGTTTGTTAATCAAAAATTTATTAAATTCTTATAAAATATGAAATATAAAATTCAAAATTCGGGCTTCCAGGGGTCCATAAGAGTCATTAGGATTTTTGAAGCAAGAAGACGTAGAAAATTTGAAATGTCCTCGCCGGGACTCGAACCTGGACCTCTGGAATACGGCCAAGTTTGTTAACCGTTACGAAAACAAGGCATGGTGAAAGGAGAGGGAAAAATACCTTATATACTCCCAAATTAAAGGGCGACTGGAGATTCGAGGCTTTGCACGAAATCTGAGAGACTCAGACAAGTGCGTATGGGGGGGGGAAGGAGACTCAGAGCACTTTATTTTCAAGTGCTAGTTCACAAAAGAGCTATACCAAAGAAAGGACACAAATTACGCCTGAGTACATTAAATGCTTACTGAAGATCTCTCAATTACAACATAAGATTTCCTTAATTATGAAGAAACTTTTCTCACATAAACGAGAAGACATATGTGATGACGCTATCATGTCTGTATAAATACCATATACTCTACAACTTACAAAAATAATGCAAGATTTCAGAAATGTTGCACATGCCTGAAACAGGCTAAATATGGTAGGAAGTGTTTTAACAAAATAATTACATTAAGAATATGTCAGTGTACTATGAGATAAAAAAACAATCTTGCAATAGTTAAATCATTAAAAATTAAAAAAAAGTCGTTTAATATAATTTGAGGTAAGTAGATATATTAACGTACATGTAAATGTTATATGATGTACTAATGTATGACGTAATTATGATATATTAATTTACAGAAACAATGTAAGATTTGAGACATGTTGCAATTGTCTGTAACTTGATAAAAATGAAAAGAAATATATAAAATAGATAATTGCTTTTGGAATACGACTAGGAGAGGCACTTAGTATTCTGCAATAATGAGTTCCTTAAAAATGATAAGTGAGACAAGTAAAGCCGCCCAACCGGTATAATGGTTAGCGAAGCTGATGCCGTGTCGAAGGTCCCGGATTCGAATACCAGTGAAGGCATGAATGTTTGTAAATGTATAGTGTCTGTACGGTATAGGGTCACTCTAAATATGCGGCGAGCCAAAAGTCCTTGCGAGAGGTTGATGGTAGGGGAAGAAGGGTGGAAAACCTCCCGGAGCCCTCCTCTCGGGATGCTCTCCGTCAAAATTGGGGGCGGAATCGCACCTTCGCCTGTGAGGTGCTCAAAGCTGTTGCCAGCGACAGGCACAAACTTGAGTTCCTTGCCACGAGGAATTTCGTGGGCTTGGCCTGACTATAGATCAGACAAGTGAGCGTTAGCAACAACAATAATAACGTTTTTGTTCCAGGCTATATTCAGACTTTGTTTCTTAGTCGTGTTGTAAGGGCATTAGGATATTTTTGGAAGCAGGAGAAATGAAAAATGAGCAATCGCCTTCGCCGGGAATCGAACCACGGACCTCTGGAATACCGGCCCAGCGTGCAGAACCACTACACCACGAAGGCACGCTAGGAAAGTGGGAGAATACCTTATAATGTTTTAAGAAAGTTTAAATGTCATTTTTTTCCAGACGTATCTTAATATAATATTCAGAACCTTTGTAATATACACTCATTGCCAGTTTGACCGCCAAACGATAATTTTCGGATCGTAATGAAACTTAGCATGAAAGTACGTGACAGACAGACTTGCAGATGATTAGAAATGCGCATTGAGTAACGGCAACAGACCCCGCTGAATCTTCTTCTCCGTGGCACATAAAAGAGGTATTTTGCTCGGATTTAATTTGTTCCAGAGGGATGCTTTTTCACTGAAAATGTCCTTACTTGGCCATCGAAGGCAATATGATCAGCTAACAGTATGAGAGAATTCGGTTTGTCAAAGTTTGAGAGAGGAAGAACCATTGGGATGATGAAAACCGGGTATATAAGCTCGGCGAATAGTCCGTTAACAAGGTCATTCTGACTTTAGTATAAGGAGATGATGGGGTCGCTGGACTATAGAAAGAATGCATACACAGTGGCCAGGATGAGGACGGTTACATGAGAAAACATCGTGAACAAAAACGTCGCGGAGAAAACAACGTAAGGCAAACGCGCCATTGTTCAAAACATCATGGGAGTAAACAAAGCAAGAAGAAAACATCGCAACGCTAAAGCATCGTAGTGTAAGATACCGTCATGGAAAATATATTGGTAAATAATGAAACGCCTACAAATCATTGCTTTATGATTACATTGCAAAAATGCGTTTTTCAGGCTTTAAAAGTTGTAAATGTATATTTACATAAGATTTGTGAGCTCAAGAAGGAATGAGGATTTTGTTTTTGTATTTTTGAACTAAATAATAAATTTTTGTTGAAACATTCTGTCTGTCTGTACCACCTGGCTGAATGACAGTCAGTATGGCGGTACCCAGTACGTGCGCTGCAAATGATACCCATTCTTCTCCGCGTTCGTTTGGAGTGGTGTCACGCTCGATGGGATTGGACTGAGACCGATTAGAACCAGGTCGTCTTTAGCGGCGAATCCAGATTCACTTTGGACAGTGATGACAACAGTGTACATCTGGAAAAGCTTCGGCATGAACGGCTGAATCCCTGCCTTCGTTTTATAATGGGACACCGCTCCCACAACTAGAGTGATGGTATGGAGTGCCATGCGACACGTGATCACCTCTAATATTGGTTCATGCTGCCATGACAGCCCAGCGGGGCGTCCGTGACATCTTTCAGTCTCATGTGTTGTCACTCATGCCAGAGCTTCCAAAAAGCATTTTTCAACACTGGACTGCTCGGCTTTACACAGCAAGGGTGTCACAGGAATGTCTTTACCCCATTACACCTCTCCCTGGTCTGTCCAGTTTCCAGATTTGTCATTGATCAAACCTGTCTCAAATCACTTGAGACGGCAAGTTGGACAGCCTACGAATTAGGTCGAACTAGAAGTGCTGTTACAGCAGCTGTGGGAGAAGTGATGTTAGTCACCATACGGAACCTGCAGATTTCAATGAACGTCCATATCGTATCGCATATTCACGCTAGAGCTGGCCTAAGAGGGTATTAGCATTTCCATTCACTTGCAAATGTTTAAAAAAATATCCTTTTGCTTTTGTAATCACTTGCATCCCCGTTACATCCACTTACATAAAATTATGTTCGATTTTGACAATTTTTCTGGGTGTTCAGTTGTTTTTTGGCAAGATTTAAAATAGAGAATGTCTGATACCATTAAAACTACGCATTAATTGTGATGTATGTGGGTATAACCAAAGTTTTCTGTTAAAAATGTTCTTAATAAAGTTAGAAAATAAAACAGGAAAGCAGTACCTTTAGTGAGGATTGTAATCACCTCAAAAATATAAGATTTTCTGCTAACGTTTTGGTAGTCTTTCAAAGCCTTCGGCCCAGAAACTTGGTAACCCCCGAGAGTCCAAAAATAGATCACTCGGACTCCCTGTGTAGAGTTCGGACTCCCTGTGCAGAGTTTTAAGACAGCACCAGCAAGATGTAACTGCCGGTGTGAAATAAGGTAGGAGTCTGAAGGGGCGATGTCGAGCTTTATGGTGGGAGTGGCAAAACATCCCATTCGGGTCCGTACAGAGTCCAGCCGGCGAATGCAGACACATGTGGTCTTGCAAAGCAGCGTCAATAAGGACTAGCATCTCTTTGTACACC